AATTCCTGTGTATAGGGAGTGGGACTATTAGAAGGTGTGACCTTGTTGGAAAAGGTATGGCCTTGCTGGAGGAAGTGTGTCACTGTGAAGGCAGGCTTTGAGGTCCCTTATGCTCAAGCTAAGCCCAGTATGGCATACAGTTGGTTCTGCTGCCTGCAGATCAAGATGTAGAACTATCAGCTCCTTCTCCAGCACCATGTCTGCCTACACGCTGCTATGAAGATATTGGACTAAACCTCTGAAACTGCAAGTCAGTTCCAAATAAGTGTTTTCCTTTATAAGAGTTGCCATGGCCATGGTGTTTATTCACAGCAATAGAAACCCCAACTCTTGCATGAACTGAATTTATAAAGCCCATTTCTATGCAGAGATACCTTGATCATCCTAGGCATGGGGCAGGGGAAGACCTTAGTTCTAATCCAATAAGGAGATGACAGTCATTGTGTACTTGCCAGGGAAGGCCTTAACTCTAAGGAGTGGATTGCATGGGAGGTGAGGTAAGAGCAAGAAAGACAGCTGGAGGAGAGGAGGGAGGGGGAACTGGAATAGGTATGTAAAAAAAAAAATTGAATCCCAAAAAGAGTAATTTCTATCTTGTGAATCGTATGCTCAAATGAGCAAGGTTATTAGGTGTTAGATGATTCCAACTGCGATTTCTATTATATATATGATATATTTACATAGCCACATATAACCATATATATTCATGTAGATAACTATACCTAAGACTATAAACCTCTTTTTAAGTAAATGAGATTACCAGTCAACAAATCACCTAAATCATTTTAGAGAAACTATAATTTAAAGCCCAAAATAAACTACATAATATACTGTATTTTCTATAATAGCAGCTGTATTGGGCATAGCAGACTATTACTTTATTATCATTCCTCTAGTTCAAAGCTCTAAAGCTCACTTCTATATTTCTAGATAGTACTTCTATGAAATGAATTTAAAATATAAAATAAACTCAATAATTTTCCACAATATATGCTTGCCAAAGTGTACAAGGTGACCTCTTCCAAGTCTATCTAAATCACAAACAAGCACAGGAGATAACAAAATTTCAGCTATCTGTAAAGTAAATGAAAATAATCTGCAATTTTAAATGTAGATGGAATGATGCTACCCAATCTGTTGACATGTAAGATTAGCTTTGGTGCTGGAGAGATGGCTCAGCGGTTCAGAGCACTGGCTGTGCTTCTAGAGGACCCAAGTTCAATTCCCAGCACCCACACAGCATCTCACAACAATCTGTACTTCCAGTTTCAGGGGATCTAATACCTTTATACCAACACATAAATTAAAGTTAAATAAATTATTTTTTAAAAATTAGCTTTAAAATATTGTATCCTGTTAACATAAAAAACACAATGAAAACTAATATAAAGATTTATAACTTTTTATTTAGCAAGATCGCTTCAGAACAATAACCTACAAAGTTAAGAAGAATCTTTATTATAACCTTCATTTCTTGCACTAAAAACAACCAAGAGGGCTAAAGTGATAAAACAGAAGCTAAAGAGCGCGTATTGCTCTTTTCAGAGTACCTAGGTTCCATTCATCCACAAGTGCATGTAACCTGCATTTACTAGAATTCAGTGCTCCTTAAGCTTCCATCAACACCTGGACCCACACGGTACACAGAAAGCCAAGCAGGCACACAGACATAAACATTAAAAACATTTTTTAGCTGATGGTGGTGCTGCATGCCCTTAATTCCCACACTTGGGAAGCAGGTGGATCTCTGTGAGTTCGAGGCCAGCCTGGTCTAAAAGAGCTAGTTCCAGGATAGGCTCCAAAGCTACAGGTCTTGAAAAACCATAAAAAATAAAATATAAGCATTTTTTGAACGAAGTAAGTCAAGGGGGCTAGAGAGAAGGTTCAGGAGTTAATTGTACTGATTCCTCTCCCAGAGGATCTGGGCTCAATTCCCAGAACCCACATGGTAGGTCATGGCTATCTATAGCTTCAGTTCTAGGAGACGCAATACCCTTAAACAGACATACATGCAGGCAAAACATCAATGCACATAAAATATAAATAAATTGTTAAGAAGTCAAGATATTCAAGAAAAGGTTTTCAAAATTAAATGATTATTGGGAGAAAATCATGCTGAGGTATACCAAGTGTAAATAAAAGTAAACATATGAAAGTATATTATGAAATGAGAATATACCATGAAATACCGTACAAGAGTATACACACAGAATGCTAAAATAATAATCTGTATTATTTTACTGGGATTACAAGTCATTTTGTCTCTTTTTCTGTTTTATGTTATTTCTAAGGTTGAAATCATTGAATATTAAAAGAAACTGTATTTTTTGTTAAGTATAGGGAGGAAAGCAAAGTTCTTTGAAATAACAAGCTACTTCCCAATAGCTGGAGGTCTACTCCCTCCAGGAGCTTTACGGATGTTTTCTGAAGTTACTGTGGCTATTATTATTATTATATATAAACTTACTTTAAGAGGAAAAACTAATGATGCTATCTTTAGCAACTCAGAACACTATAATTTGGTTTGGCAAATACTACTTATCAAGTGCACGAAATATAAGAAATTCTCAGTGAATTTTTAAATTCATTTGAATTATTAAATAACTATAAACAGATCAAGATCATTATATATACATATCAAAAATCTATACCTAAGTATGTTAGGAAATAAAACTATTATATTGACACTTGATAATTATGAGCAGGCATATAGGAACTGAAACAGAGTCTGGATGTTTAAGAAAAATGTTGGAATTAATTTATGATACAAATAACTAAGCATGAATCTTAAAAGACGGTAAAACATTTAATCAAGATGAATAAAATTGAAAAGAAGTTCTACTTTCACACTTAATATCCAGTGTCTTGCATTGAGAAAGCAAAAACAATAAAAAATGTTACTATATAATCACACACATGTGGTATACATGGTAACAAATGAAAGTGATAAGGAGAATATTTAATAAAAAAGTCTTGAAATTTTAAGACTTCCCCTCCTCATAATCACTCAGATTTCCCATTGTTAATATACATATAATACACACACAAACACACACACACACACACACAATAAAACATTATTTAGTATCAACTAAGACTTAGCAGACAAATATTTTAATGTAACCTGAAAGTTCAGGCTTATTTCTACAATTTAAAGTAAATTTCATTTTTTTAATACATAGAAAATTCGTGTCTAGAACTATTCTGCAATGCAAATCATTTCTTCACAATTTGAAATATAACCTAAAACACAAGAAAAAAAAAGAAACTTCCACAAAAGAGTTTATAATTAATTAACTCTCCAGAGAACACAAAAATAATAAAAACAACAAGTATGTTAATGATAAAACCAACGGCAAATCTATTTCATATATTTAAAGGGTCATTAAAAATCAACCTATCAATACATAATTTTCTATACTACAAAATAAACATGAACTTAGTTGAGAGAAGAAAGCGTGATCTTTGGGAAGTGTGATGTGGCATTTTTAACTTTATGACCAATGTGGTGACTTCTGTCCCTGAGAAGATCATCTCCAACATTAATACTATGACCTCTAAGAAAGCTGATATATAAGGATTATAGTGAGAAAAATATATGTTTTATGGGTATCCAAATGGAATACCTATGTCACTAGAAGCGATATTATAATATTGAGTTTTTTACTGCCAAATTACAATCTTCAGAATTCTAGAAAAATAATCCAAGCATAAGATAACTATGATGGAGAAAAGGGCTGACTGAATCACAAAAAGGAATGAATCTCTTTACAAATTTTGAGCACAAAAATCAAATGATATTAAAATTCAGGTTGCCTTTAGCATTCAATACCCTACAACTGACCTTGTAAAATGGATCAGAAGGACACTCATTCTGATGTATCTATCAAACATCAACTCAGTAGCAGCTTGCTTCTAAGACAGTGAATCGCTCTTATGTTATTCTCTTGTTTCTTTACATATTAGACATTGTTCAACGTATGGAACTATAGCATTATTTTCTTGTAAAATAATTATCAAAATAAACTAGAATAGTTCAAAATAGTTCATTCTTTCACATGAAAAAAAGTTGCTTATTGTAGTTTAATTACCTTAAAAATTAAGCTGCTGTCTTAGGGTTTCTACTGATCTGATGAAACACCATCACCAAAAGGCAAGTAGGGCAAGAAAGGGTTTGTTTACACATCCATATTGCTGTTCATCATTGAAAGAAGCCAGGACAAGAACCCAAACAGGGAAGGGACCTGGAAGCAGGAATTGATTCAGAGGTCATGGAGGAGCGCTGCTTAATAGCTTGCTCCCCATGACTTGCTCACTCCGTTTCTTATAGAACACAGGATCACCAGCCCAGGGACAGTATCATCCACAATAGGCAGGCCCTTCCCTATGGATCACTAATTAAGATCTAGATCACCTGGAGACAATTTCACAATGGAGGTTCCTTTTTTTCAGATAAATCTAGTTTCTGTGTCAAATTGACATAAGATTGGCCAGCAGAGTTGCCAAGGCTTAAAAAAAAAACAAAAAACAAAAAACTGACCCATCCATGATTAGATTTCACAGGAACATATATAAAAAAGAGAAATTTGCCCAGAAATTTGCCTTTATTTTCTGGGAGCACAAACCATATGAAATCATAAAACTTATAACAATAACCTCATTACCATTGAAATAAGCCTACCAAGAAATATTTTCTGTCCATTTCAGCTGATCTTTACCCATCATCCCAATCAGCAAATACTTATTGTGCCTACTATCTGGGCATCATAATTTCAGGTCTTGGGGATATATCAGGTGACAGGACAAGCTGTTTTCACAAAAAACAAAACAAAACAAAACAAAAAAGCAAAAAAAAAAAAACAAAACAAAACACTTCTAAACTGCAGTATAAGAAGGATCATTAAATAAATGTGCCAAATAGGAAAATAATACAGAATACTAGATGACAATGGCTAATAAAGGTTAAAGTGAGACATATTTTGTATAAGGCTATCACAAACCTGTTCCTGAGGATGTGATGATGACCTCCAAACATAAACCAGAAGAGATGAAGGAGCTCTGCGGATACAGTTCTAAGTCCTCAACATCCTGAGGCCAAATACACTCTTCAGAGAGCACGAAGGTCTGTATGACTGAAAAACATGAGCAAATTTGTTCTATTTATCAAACATTTTTTATTAAGTCTTAAAAATTATACTAAACATTTTGTTATAATTAGATGATACAAATATAGTTACTGACCTCAGATATATCTATGCTTGCAATATGGAATGATAAATATCATAAGGCAACTGAGCTGGCTCTTAGTAAAGGACCAATAGTTAAGTTCTTCCAAAAAAGAAATAAATCAAGAGTCTGGAAAATCAAAGGAAGATGCTACCTGAAAATCAGTGTAGTAGTTCCCTAGAAAGTTAAAAACAGATCAATCACATGACTGAAGGACACCACACTTGGGCAGGAAACTCAATTTCCTACTTCCAGAGACAAACACTTATCCATGCTGAGAGCTGTTCTGTCCATTACTCAAAGGACATGTAAAATGCCTGCATGGCCAGCAAGTGATGAACAGGCATCAGAAATGCGGTGCCCACACACAATGGAATTTACTTCAGCTGTTAAAAAACATTAATTAATTAATCATGAAATTTGCAGGTAAATTTTAAACAAAAAAAAAAACCCAACTATACAGAGTGAGGCTACTCAGGCCCAGAAAAACAAAAACCACATGTTCTCACTGTGAATCTAAGTATAAAATATTTAGATTTGTGTGTTTAATTTGGAGGCCCTACAGAATCCAGAAAGTTGAAAAAAAGATCAGTGGAAAGGAGGGAGAATAAAAATCTTAAAGGATAAAAGGGATAGAAGAGCGCAGGTATATGAAGGGGAAAGAAGAAACAAGGTAAATAGAGGTTTACCTTGGTACGTTGGGAAAGACATGGTAAGGGGAGGGATAACTAACTCTGATGATATATTATATCCAAAAGGTCATAGGTACACCTACTATTTTACAATCTTTGTGTGTCTGTGTGTGTGTGTGTGTGTGTGTGTGTGTGTGTGTGTGTGTAATTGAAGCTACCCTATACATAGGCTCATGTTCATCTCAGAAGCCATAGGTTGTCAAATGAAATGTCTTGGATGAAGTAGAGAAATAACTCCAAATGTCTACCAGAGACCCACAAAACAATAAAGGCTATTGTTATTGTTCTTAGTTTTCCACCAGAATCTGATGGCAAGAATTTACTGCATCACATTGGTATCTATACACTGACACTACACAGAACATGGAGAAGGCAAGTTGGTTCTTGTAAGGGCTAAGAGACCTGTTTGATAGTGATGAAAAGCTTCCTCCCTGTTGGCTTTCAGAGTACTAGAAGCAGCTATTCAGGCTGCTAGGAAAAACAGCTTCAAACCCAGTAAAATACAATGATGACCAGGACAATAGTACTATGAATAATATTAGGGGGTAATTCACCACTTTTTGATTGGCTTTAAGGCCCACTCTACAACAGGAAAAATATGCCTGTACTACCAAATCTGGCCAAGAATACGAAATTGTGAAGCTCACAGGTCCCAGGTGTGAACCTAACTAGTATAATTTTACTTAGTGAACACAGTATTGAATTGTCCTCTAAATTTTAATCTCTCTACCCATTGATTAGTGCCGCTCTCAGACCTCTCTGTGCAGCAGATGGCAGCTACTGCAACACTCACAGATAGTCAATGATGGAGTGCTCAGTCACGAATGGAAAATCTATACCAACCTTCCCCCAGGCTCAGCAATTCTCACAGAAGAGTAGGCATAAAAATTGTAAGAAATAGAGGTCCAGGAGGATGGGTGCAAACAGTATCTTGGGAACATGACAGGACTGCAATACACAGTAGCTGTGGCTACTTGCATAAGATCTGAACAAGATCAAGCCAGTCAATTCTAGCATGAATAAATAAAAAGAAAAAATGAAACTTAAAAGTTCCTGGAATTAAATAAAAGTAAAAATATAATATACCCAAATCTATGGGATATGACAAAGATAGTCCTAAGAGATGTATCAGTCTGAGTGTCTACATCAGACAAATCAAAGAAAACCCAAGTAAATACCTTACTGATGTGCCTAAGAACCTTAGGTTAAAAAAAAGAACAAACAATACCCAAAACCATAAACGGGGATAAACAATCAAGTCAGAGTAGACACTAATAAAGCAGAAACAACAAACAATATAAAGACTCAACTAAATGAGGAGTTGGTTCTTTAAAAGGATTAACAAGATTGATAAACCCTTACCCAAATTAGCCAAGAGAAAGGACCCAAATTAATAAAATAAGAGAACAAGGAGATAGAGCAATAGACACTGATGAAATCCAGTGTCTGTTAGGATATATTTTAGTCATTAGGATATATTTCACCATATTGGAAAACCTAAAAGAAATGATCAGGTTTAGTCCATATGATTAAGTGGTTTGAATAAGAATATCCCCCCCCCCAGACCCTGATATTTCAATACTTGGTAACTGTCTAATAACATTATCAAGTTATGATGTTAAGCTATCCATTTTTGGACTGCATATAAGACCTATTCAACAGGAGAAAATGCAGTCTTAGTCCTAGCCCTAAGGAGGAATCCGATACTGTTGTCTTGCTATATGGATATTCTGTCAAGCAGCCTTCTTAATATTGGTTTAAATGAATAGATTCATGTTGCTCTCAACCTTAGAGAAGCTTCTCTCTGCGATCATCAGCAGTTACTGCAGATAATTAGAGCTGGTTCATGCTGAGAGAAAGTGACTATTGACTCAGCCCTTAACCCAAGCTTGGAAAACGTGACAGATAGAATGTAAAAGCTAGAGAATTAAGAAGGGTACTATGAGAAGATGGCAATCTTCTGAATATGGCATGATCATCTTATTCATGAACTAACTCTAGCTTCAGTTACTACACAAGAACTGTGCCAGACTATGTCAACGAGGTCAGTCAACATTCTACCATGCAGCACTGACTGGTCTCAGTGGGTTACAAAAAACGAAAAAGAAAAAGAAAAAGAAAAAGAAAAGGAAAAAGAAAAAGAAAAGGAAAAAGAAAGAACACGAAGAGGAAAGAGGAATAAGCTAAGGGTACCTGAGGGAAGAAGAAGAGAAATTGAAGAATATGATCAAGACAGTGTTTATATGTGTGAAATTGTAATGAATAAATTTTAAAGATTTTATTATAAATAAAAATTAAATTTAATAATATTTGTTAAGTAACAAAACTTCACAAATTAAAGGTATTATATCCTTTAGATATATAAGTGATTAATAGCTTTAATATTAAGCATTATATTTCCTACATATCCATTCAAACAGTTATTGATGGGGTTCACACCAATTTGCTTAGTTCTAGTTTTTCTCTTCAAACACAGAACTATCACATTAATACATCACCATTAGATATTCAAGAAGAAACCAATATGATGTGTCTACATAAACCAAGTACACGGTAAGTTCAAAGATGCCAGCAACTAACTGCAAAAAGGAACTGAGTAAGTACAACATAATAATTCAGATAACTTTAGCATAGCTCATTCAAAACTCATTCAAATTCTGACTATGCCTGTGCTTCTCCAAAATAAAGACTAGAAAACTACAATACTATTTTTAGCATTCTGAAGGTAGTTACATGACATGGATTGGTATCACAGGCAAGTTTCTTTGAGCAAGCATGTCTTTCTGAAAGGAGAACACTCAAGTGGGAAGGTTTCTAGGATCCCATTGTTATTCTGCCTCCTAGGAAGTCAACACAGTTTTCAGTGGTAGAAGTCAACAGAGGGGGGAAAAAAAATTTACCACGAGTACTCAGGAGAAAAAAAATTTTAAATGTGTTTACCTCGATTCCTGACTATATCAGTTGCTTATGAACTAAAAGTCGTGGGTCTTCCTTTGATAAGAGACAAATAAAACCCTTACTCAAATATTGAAGTGGTTGTTAAGACTGCTTTCTACTGAAGCCAGGGGTCTTTTACCACTCAAAATACAACATTAGAGGTGAAACTGACACGGACGTGGTCCACACCTTTAATTCCAGCAGAAGCAGAATTTTTGATTCTCACAGAGGTCACTATGAGTTTGAGGCCAGCTCAGTTTTCACCGCTAGTTCTAGGACAGCCAAGGGTATCAAAGAAAACATGTCTCAAAAAAGAAAACAAAAACACACAAACAACAACAATAAAAAGTGAAATGAAGTTCAATTATCTAAAGCTCTTTCTGACCTTGGGAATGATCTCGTCCTTCCTTGGTTATAAGAAATGAAGATATTTTAAAATTATATTCATATACTTTTCAGTAACCTGGACTACTTTAATAGATGCCAAACCCCTACATGGGAGCCTGTATGTTCTACACTAATAATACGATATTTTTCTTTCTTTTCTTAATTGAAGTCTTTAATTTCCAAAACTTGCAAAACATTTTAATGTATGAAATATATCATTTCATGCATAACACACACACACAAACACACAAATAATAGGTGACAATGAGGAAAACAGGAGAGAGAATGAAGAGAGAAAAAGGAGAAGGAACAAAGTATTTCAGAGTATAAACTGGTTGTCAAATCCTTGGACATTTTATAAAGCAGGTTCTGTATACAAATTAGAGTATAGTTTGAAAACTGAGAAGATTCACATATACATATATACCTTTAAAATCAGAAATTCAGTTGTTAAATTTTCCCAGCTTTATAAATATCTAAACAAATACTTTGTATACTATTTTCCACTACAGATAATTATTGTCATAGTTCATCTATGCCTTCTCTCTATAAAGAGTCCTTCCTAAAATTCTCCATATATAATCTCTCAAACACACATACATACTCCTCTTAAACAAATTTTAAATAAGTACTTTTCTTGAAATATATTTTATTATAGAGTGCTCAAAGGATTTGTTAATTTCAATTACCAATAATTCCACACGTGAAACTTACTTATTCTGCCTTTTTTATTCAAACATATTTCACTATAGCCATTCAAAGGAAAATTACACATTCAAAAAACATTTGAGTTCCTCTCAGTTACCCTTTCAGTGGTAGAGGGTAATGAAAAAGTAAAAATCTCATTCTTCACAGGCTCTCTTTTCTTTTCCCCCGTTTGGTAAAATTTC